TTTGAAAATCATCCCCCCACACGCCATATAAAGTACAAAACAATAGATTTCGCTCCTTGTAACAAATCAATTATGGCAAAAAAGCTTCTTTCAACCATTTTGGAACGATTTCTAAGACGGATTAAATCTCCGCTTACGCGTTAATAGCGCGAATTATATCGCGCGTTAATTGTCCCAAATTGCTCAAAATGGCCAAAATGGCAATTTTTAAACCCTCAAAACTTAACGAAAAAAGATCACAGGTGAAATATCTTTTCAAATTTAAGCTCAGGACAACGGATGATATAAAAAAAATTTCGTCAAAAATGGCTGGTTAAAAAATCGAAATTTGTCTGTAGAAACAAAAACCCACCCCGAGCACAAATATTCCGTTACTTTCGTATCGAAAGTCGGAACAATAAAACTTATGTGCGAATTAATTTTTTACCCAAATTGGTCATTAATTTACCCAATTTTTCCCCATTTTTTGACTTTTCGAAAAAAGATAACAAGAAATCATTTTACTCTCAATTTGAGCTCACGGCATCCTTATCTTATAGATTATGTAAAAAAAATTGCCAAAAAGAGCTAGTTTAATATTGTCTGGAGAAAAAACGAGTCAGTTACTGTACAAAAATTCCGGAACTGTCTTAGAAAGCCAGAATTGTATCAATTTTGTCTCTCATAGCTATGGTGCCAAATTTTGTTGCTGTTTTATCTACACGTCACTTAAGGCCTCTAAAGGAAGTTTTCATTGAAAAACTATGTGGAATGCTTCCTTTTTTGTGGAATAGGGGCTACATATTTATCAACTAAAATGATTGACATCCAAATATGCAGCCCCTATTCCAGAAAAACTATAATTATTTATATTCTTGAGAGCTTCTCATATCACTACTAAGTGTGAGCAGGTACCTGCCTGTCAATCCATCTAGGTCTGTCTGGATGTTGACCTGTAATTCAAGGTCTGAATTATACGTTGAAGAAACAAGTTGAGTTTACTCTTAAGCTGGAGAAGTACTGCTGTTATTTCCTTTGGCTCCTATGTCTCCCCATTTTTCTTTAAATGAGTATTTAAAGTTTCTAGTTTACAAAATTCTGACAAGAGTCAGTCATGAGAATAAAATTGGTTATGGTTGACAGAAGAAAATGTTCGGTTGTATCTGGTTGAAGTACCGCAGGTGGATGGAAATTCTCACTCGGTTCCCTCAAGTTATAGAACAAAATCAATCACCCATCATTATTCAATCGCTCCATGAGTTCGAGTATGGTAACAATTGGACTAATTTATAAATTGTAACCGCAATCAGCGTCCACTTTTGTTCCAGACAAATGGTAGCCAGCTGACTCTCTTTGATATACTTTGTCCCATTCGGTTAACGTCTGTAGTTGGTTAATACATGTGTCCACTCATTCCATAAAATTTGGTTCAAAATATTGTCAATAAAAAACATTGCAGTGACATAAACAGACTCTCTCATTCCTCTAATCAAATAAACCCGCCGTGGACTCTAAAATTAAAGTAGGCTGCCCAGCTAAATTTGATTACCTACCCGTCCGAAAAAAATTCCCTGCAATAAAGAACATGCACTTAGCTAGACGAGGCACAATATTGCAGCACATTACCTATCAAAAACATGCAAATTGCAAGAAAATGAGCTTTTACGCCTCTTTCCTTTCAAGAAAAAGGATTCGAATCCACATAAAATCATTTTCAAAATACGAAACACTTTTTGACCGTTTTCACAGTTGATGATTGTTTTAAAAATGAACGTTTGTTAAGGTTTTCAAGTAATTCTGGAGCTGCATAAACTCATTTTGCATTGGCAGAACGAAACAAAAAAGACTCAACTAAAATTGATCTAGCTCTTCTAAAGTAAAAAAAATAGGTTTAAACTAAATATGTATTCAAAAAAAGATGATTTAAACTAAAATGTCTTCAATAGGTCTTCAAAACTAAACATGTCTATATAGAATACTTCAATAGAGCTGCATTATCAGGGCATAGCCGACAACTGTCACAGAAAAAAATTGATGGGCGCTATCATTTCTAAAAGCTTTAAATTTTTCGTATGTACCTGTTTCCCACAACCATATCAAGAAGGAAGTGTTACCATTTCAGTCGTCTTGGAAGTGATTGATATCAATTAATTCGATTCAATTCAATGTTCTTTGTGAGACAGTTCGAGAGTGGAACAGTTCGTCGTGCTTGACCGTTAAACGTCATACATCGAGCTTAATGAGCACAATAAAAGCGCACATAAATTTGACTAGATCAATAATTTTAATACCCCGAAAAATGAACAAAATGATTGCAGGTGCGAATGTTTCTACATGTGAACTCAGGGAATCCACATCTTCTATAGAGAAAAATTTAACCTAAAATTGATCTTTTTGATAGTCGAAATTGGTCTACATTTAAAAAAAACACGATTAGGAATATACAGTTACTTTCCTGATGGTTGGTAAAACACCAAAAATACTGCAATTTCAAGTTTTTTAGAGGTCGAAAAAATAAGATGCATAACAACTGCAACACAAATGAGAAAGCAATATCAAAGAAATATGATGCAAAAAATCGGTATAACAAAAGTTTAAACCATTTTCAAGCAAAAAAGTAGAAATTAAATAAAGTAATTATAATTTAAAACACAGATAGCCAGTTACTGTGCAATTAACACAGAATGTTACCACCATAGTCTTAAAAATACAAAACAAAGTTTTTTTTCAAATTAGTGTCGTTTTTTAATGCGTGGTGTGAAAAAATTATCTGAACAAAAATTGGGCTAACTCGACATTCATAGTAAAACAGGCAAATTGAAAAACGTAGAAAATTCACAAGAAAAACGAAAAAAGATGATTAAAAGAACTTTCCCTATTTTTTTTAGATATTCAGTTTTTTTCAAAAACTTTTAGAACTTTTGATCTTTTTGATACCTAATAGGGTACTAAAAACTTACTTTACTTGAGTAAAACACAAAAATTTGAAGACATATATTAAGCATAAATAAGCTAATGTAGGCCTGCTCACTCGCTCGAATTTAGACGAAAAATCAAAATTTTCAAACCGGTTTTTCTCAACATCAGGAATTTTTTGAATATTTTTAAAATCGTTCGAATCGCGACTGAAAGAGCTTTTATATGATATATGACTCAACCCAGCTCGATGATCAATTGTTGTACCTGATTTTGCACGGAAATAAAAAAACTAAAGCACACTTGATTACAAAGTTCTTCCCCATTTTCATTTTAAATGGTCGAAACAAAAAAACAAATGGTAAAAAGTACAAAGTCTAGAAGAATTTGAATGATAGTACGCAGAATGAAGCTGACATTTGCAACACTTGTAAAACCTTAAATCCATATAGCATTGCAAACTAGCGGATAAAAATGAAATGTAAACCACTAAGTGAAAAAATTATTTGAAACTTAAAGTCAAAAAAATCTACATCATATACATAGAAAAGCCCGCTAGCAGTAGAAAATGAGACGAAAGTTACAAACTCGAATTTTAAAATTGAAAAAAAATTATAAACTTATATCTCAGACAGTCAGTTTGGAGAAAATAACTTGAGAAGTATAATTCCAAGTGTTTAACTAGCACTGAGATCAGCGGTAACTAGGCAAACAATACTCGCATATACGTTCGCTGAGCCGAAAAATTGTCCTATAAATTTTTATACTTTGAGAAATTTAAATTTTTAAGTCCACCGAAGCACAAAACACATGAAAACACGTTTTTGCTCTTGAAGCAACCGATTCTAGCTCAACTATATAGATATATTTTCCACCGAAACCGTTAAAGCTCAAAAACCTTTGAAACAAAAAACTAATCGGACAAAACGGAAATTAACCGAAGTATAGAAGGTCAATTGCACCGGTCATTACAAATGATAGATACGGCACTCTAAACTCCTGAGCCTGTAAACAAAATCCATGCTTTCAAAATTCAGCGGAACTGAACACCAAAACGAAACCCGACAAGGTAAAGTTTTTCAGGTCAGTTATTTAAAGAAATTTCTAGATACTAATTTTGAACAAAAATTAAGCAAAATCGAAATAATTTTTAATGCTTTTTGGCAGAACAATCAAATTCATTTTAAATAATCTTAGTAGATATCGTATGCAGAAAATTGCCGAAGAACCTCGAAGCCAGACTCTTTTTTGCCCTTCTTTCCAAACAAAAAATTAACATTTTTAAAAATTTCTAGACCGTGACCTGCTCACCTGTACAGATATTTGATAAATTACAAAAAAAGAATCCATTTGGTACAGCTCTTAGCCAGGAGTAAGGTAACGAACGGTTACGCAGAGACATGCCAGAGTTTTATGACATGTCTAAAGTTTCGAATTTGAAACAAATGTATATGGACAAGCCAGTCTTGGTATCGAATCTTTAAAAAAAATTGCGACGAATGCATATACATCATACCACTATATTATGTCTTACTGTAATATACTTGTGCCATTTGGATTACTTGAGAGGGGTTTGGTTGATGGGGGGTTTATGGTTGGGCTGTTCTGATGATGTGGCTTCTATCTGATCTATCTAATGGTATGCTGGTGTCAGTTTGCCTGTTGAGTGTTAGTTTAACAATAAGGTGCAAGCCTCTTTCTCTCGCTTTTCTTCCGTCAAAGACGTCCACAGTCAATATAAATCACCCGTTATCAATCAACTTCAGAGTCTTATCTTGACATGAGCACCTTCCACTTTATCAAGTGCTCTTAGTGGACCAACACTTTTTAGTTAAAAGGAATCCCTGCTCAGTATCATTTTTATGGGAAATAAAACTAAAATGTGAAAAGAACATGGGTTTTTGGCGAAGCGGAACTTACTGATATTTTGGGGGCAGTGGTAATTTTGAATTTCTTAACCTATGACTGAAAAAAAAACACTGTGAGTAAGTGGATTTTAGTAATTTGCTGTACATATGGATTAATGGTTTTGAAATAACATGTAAGAAGCATTATGTAACATTCATTGTATTGTGTGAGGTGAAGAGTTGGGGATTTGTTCACAGGGGCCAATACGACAGTGCGCTACACTACCCTGTGTATGCGGGTGCGGTTCAAGCGCAAGTGGGAGATCTACGTGGTGACTATGTTCCTGCCCAGTATCAGTCTGGTGGTGTTGAGTTGGGTGTCCTTCTGCATAGACAAGAATGCAGTGCCGGCCAGAGCAGGCATCACCATCACCACCATCCTCGCCCAGATCACACTCATCACTGGCACTGCCAACAAGTCAGTCTCATCAACAGCAACTAACATAACTCATCTCCGTATCCTGCACGTTTCCTAGTTATCCATCAACCATAGCGGTGGTACATAGGATCCTTTTCTACCACAAGGCCTAGCGCAAGACCCAAGGTCGAACGGAGCACTTAAGCCTGATAAATCACAGCTCAAAAACAAACAACTAATATTTTATTGCCGAAATCATGTTAAAAACACTGACCACAAAACTTTTTTAGCAGTTCTGGAATTCCTCCGGGGAAAACTAGGCAGGATTTTAATGCTTGAGGCAATAACCGATATGTCTGCTCCAGAATAGGCATGAGACTCAAAAACTATTAGGTTGACTAAATTGATTTTCTGAGCTCTCCCAAATTACTATAAAAACCCTAATTTGACCAATTTTTTTTTTAAATTGGCCAAAATTGCAATTTTAAACCCCCATAACTTAATAAAAATTGATCATAGGTGAAATATCTTCTCATATTTAAGCTCAGGGCAACAATAGCATTCGGTTGATTAAAAATTTCCTTGAAAATGGGCAGTTAAAAAGTCGAAATTTGTCTGAAGAAAAAAACCCACCCCGAGCACAACTATTCCGATACTTTCGTATCGAAAGTCGGAACAATAACCGAATTTATGATGAACTTTGGAGACTAAGTTCTTCATTTTTTGCAGCAAAAAGTTTTAACAGTAAAACTTAGTCTAGTTAATTCTAAATTTTTAAGAGGTCAAAATGAAGCCACTACGGCGATATAAAATTAACCGAAACCTATCAAGCCAAAAAAAATCAAGAAAACTGTGTTAGAAAAAAAACCAGCAGAAAAACTTCGATAAAAAAATATTCCGTTACTTTCGTATCGAAAGTCGGAACAACAAGACTACGCGCATAAGAGCAAAGGTACGCGTATGATTGTTCCAAGGGCTTTCAAACTCTATGGAATAGTTTTCGCTGTCTGCTCGTATCAGGGCTCGTATCAGGACTCTATGTGCTCGTACCGCTTTTTGATTCTATGTAAGCTTGTCTTTCAATAGTTTGAAGACTATATCTATGATACTATACTTAGAACGTAATACGTATTTACCGAACACAAAATTTTATTCCGAAATTAAATGAAACAAGACTGCTCGTATCAGGTCGAAGCCCTTAATGTTCCGACTGCCTTTTAAGGTTTATGGAGCAGTACTAACATGAAAAAATTAAAAATTATAAAATAAAATGAAATTTTTTTAAATGAAATTTGAAAGTTTGTATGAAATCATCCCCCCACACGCCATATAAAATTTAAAAAAAATTTTAGATTTTGCTCTTTATAACAAACCAACTATGGCAAATAAGCTTCTTTCAACCAATTTGGAACAATTTCAAAGACGGATTAATTGTCCGCTTACGCGTTAATAGCGCGAAATATATCGCGCGTTAATTGTCCCAAATTGGCCAAAACGGCAATCTTTAAACCCCCATACTTTACGAAAAACAATCACAGGTGAAACATCTTTTCAAACTTCAGCCCAGGACAACAATACCTTTCGAATGGAAAAAAAAATTCCGTCAAAATGGCTTGTTAAAAAGTCGAAATTTGTCTGAAGAAAAAAAACCACCCGAGCACAAATATTCCGTTACTTTCGTTAAGAAAGTCGGAACAATAATCTTGCCGTATTTAGGGCACAATTATTGCAATTTAAAATTTTGCAAGTTTTAACTTTGAACTGTTTGTTTTCTGTCCCCTAGCAGCCAATAAAAAAATAAAGCCTTAAAATTCGTGTCGTGTGGGTACTTAACATGACTGATTAACTTGGAAAAAATCAAATTAAAACAAACTTGATTGGGAGATAATTCGCCACGCATTAATGAATTCCATCATTTTTTCAGCTTCATATACAAAATTATACAAAACTGCTTGTATCAGGGCGAAGCCTTGAATATTGCGACTGCCTTTTAAGTTCTATGGAGCAACAAGAACACGAAAAATTTAATAAAAATTTTAGTTTTTTTTGAAAACAGTCCCCACACGCAATATTAAATACAAAGTGATAGATTTTGCTCCTATTAACAAATCAATTATGACATATAAGCTTCCTTGAATTAATTTGGAACAATTTCTAATACGGGTTAAGTCTCGCTTACGCGTTTATACCTCGAAATATATCGCGTGTTACTTGTCCCAAATTGGCCAAAATTGCAATCTTTAAACCCCATAACTTAATGAAAACCCCCATAACTTTTCATTTTAAGCTCAGGGCAACAATAGCTTTCAGTTGATTAAAAATTTCCTTGAAAAATGGCTAGTTCAAAGTCGAAATTTGTCTGAAGAAAAAAACCCACCCCGAGCACAACTACTCCGATACTTTCGTATCGAAAGTCGGAACAATAACAGAATTTATGATGAACTTTGGAGACTAAGTTCCTTCATTTTTGCAGCAAAAAGTTTTAACAGTGAAACTTAGTAGTTAATTCTAAATTTTTAAGAGGTCAAAATGAAACCACTACAGCGATATAAAATTAACCGAAATCTATCAAGCCAAAAAAAAGAAAAAAAATCAAGCAAATTGTGTTAGAAAAAAAACCAGCAGAAAAAACTTCGATAAACAGGATAAAGAGGTGATAAAGGCCTTATCGCAAGGGTTATTATTTCAAGAGTATATCCCTATGACTTCGGTCTGAGTTTTCAACAATACAATCCTTGCTATGTTATTGCCACTTGATTTAGTTTAGAAAGAAAACAATTTTGAGTTTGTCTGTTTAACATTTTCAATTAACAGATCAAGATAGGATCCTTTACACCACTAATGCAGTTGGTTCAAAATTGTTTGTTGCTGTGATTTAATTTTTTTTCTTGATGAAAATACGTACTCTTCAAAACGACATTTCGTCTGGACTACTTGCTAATTTTGTTAAAATTGGCGAAGACAAATTTTGCACATGGTTGTTTTTTCTCCAAGACAATTTTGAATTTTTGACTAGTTGTGTTTGAGCCGAAATTTTGTTAATATATCTTCTGAAAGCGACTTGAGTTGGAGTTTAAAAGCATAATGTTTTGAGTTGTGGTTTGAAAGTAAGAAATTTGACTTATTTAGAAAAATTTAGAAAAACGAACCTGGGAGACATTTCGTGATATTAACGCATAAGCGGTTATTTAATCCGCATATAAATCGTTCCAATTCGAAATTCGATGGGATAATAATTCATTTTCGTTGAATGGAAAAAAAATTAATTAATCGCCACCCTGAGATTAGATACTAAACTAACTTTTCAACTGCACTAATTTTTCAAGACATAATATAGTTAGTACTTTGCGAGCGTTTTGCATCTAGCTATCAAGTATGCCCCACGCCTCGGCTGCAGTTGCATCCGCGCTTGAATTTATTCGAAATTGAGTTAAACGAAATTTAATTGTCTCAAATGAAGCGCAAACATTTTTCATTAACTTAAGATTTGAAACTTGTGCACAGGAACCAAATATAATTTTTTGAAAATTCTGCAGATTTTCCCAGTATGGAAGTAAATGAATAAATTCTATGCTTGTTGTATTTTTGATTGTATGTAGGGATTGAACCTGGAAACTACGCGTTCCCAATCGCAAAATCTAGGCACTGTCCTAAATGCTTTTTGATTCTATGTAAGTTGATCTTTCAATAGTTTGAAGACTTTAACTATGGTACATAGAACGTAATACGTACTTATCGAACACACAATTTTATTCGAAAGTTTAATCAAATAAGCTTTTAACTCAAGTTTTGTCTAAATCGGATTCTTCAATTTTTATTACGGAAAACGTAAAAAAGACAGTTGAAAATTTATAGTTACTCAAATGTTGTTTGCCGAAAAACTGTTAGAGACCAACTAAAAGCCACTCGAAACCTATAGGGTTTGCCATGATAAACGAGCAGTTTATATTTGTTTTTTTTTTAAATCAAAAAAAAATTTTGGCTGATTTACAAAGAATGGAACAAAGTGTTCACTAGCATACGAGTAAATTCATTTCTAATTGATTTCAATGAGTTTTTTACCACAACAAATAAGATTCTTTTTGAGAAATTTAAGCTATCGACAATTGAATTATCAAAAATTGAAATAGACTCAGAAAATTGTTTGAAACAGAACATTGTAGTACAAGTTTTATGGATTTTTACAAACTTTTACAAAGTTTGGATTTGTTTGAAATTCTGTTCCAACAAGCAGCATCCACAAAAAATGAAACAAGACTGCTCGTATCAGGTCGAAGCCCTTAATGTTCCGACTGCCTTTTAAGGTTTATGGAGCAGTACTAACATGAAAAAATTAAATGTTATAAAATAAAATGAATTTTTTTTTAATGAAATTTGAAAGTTTGTATGAAATCATCCCCCCACACGCCACATAAAATTTAAAAAAGAATTTTAGATTTCGCTCTTTCTAACAAACCAACTATGGCAAATAAGCTTCTTTCAACCAATTTTGAACAATTTCAAAGACGGATTAATTGTCCGCTTACGCGTTAATAGCGCGAAATATATCGCGCGTTAATTGTCCCAAATTGGCCAAAATGGCAATCTTTAAACCCCCATACTTTACAAAAAACAATCACAGGTGAAATATCTTTTCAAATTTAAGCTAAGGACAACATTACCTTTTGAATGATATAAAAATTAAATTTGCAGCAAAAATATATTGCAGCAAAAAATTTTAACAGTGAAACTTAGTAGTTAATTCTACATTTTTAAGAGGTCAATATGAAGCCACTACGGCGATATAAAATTAACCGAAACCTATCAAGCAATAGTTCTGATCGAGCAATAGGAAATTAATTTTCTTCGCGTTTTTATTGTTTTTTGCAAGTTGTTAACATACAAAATTGAAACTATGAATCATGATTCATTGAATTTTGAATAACTTGGTTGTATCAAAACTGAAAAGTCTCTGAAGCGCAGCTTGAACACTAAATAAATAATAATTACATAAATTTTTTGTAAAGCAATTATCCAAATCAGGGCATGTTGTTTGAATTTATGACCAAAGATGCGTGAAA